ACCGGTAATGTAAGAAAGTTGGCGACAGTTTGATTTGTCATTATAGACTATTAGCGAAATGCGTGCTGCGTAGCTGTATATGTTAGTTATACGATGTGATGTTGTTTTTTCTTCCGATTAAATGAGTATAAGTTTATTTTGTCGTTGGTTTCACATAATATTGCAATTACATATTTGATGAAAAAAACCGAAAAAGAATGATGTCAACTACAGAATAACAAAATTACCATAACAACTGTACAGAACGATTTTGTTACGATTGCTTTATTGATATAAAATGGTACGTAAAAGACATGAATGTTGTATTCGCACTTATAATCAGAGTAAAGGTTGGACGACTTTCTTTATTACTTATTTTTGTTTAAAATTTATACTATCTTTTGATTGTAAAATTAAATATACGTATATTTCATATGATGGCACAGAATTCATTCTCAGAAAACAGTCAGATGTGTGAATCGAGGAAAAGAATAAGATTATTACTTTTATGGTTGACAAATTTTACTATAATTTGATCTGATGTTCGACAAATCTGTCTGAAATATTGAATTTTTTCAGATGCGATTGTTTACAGAAATTTTGAAAGAAATGTCGATTTCGTTTTTTTAAGAAATAGCAACATTGCAAGTAAAAATGCTGCAGCTTTTATACTATTAGAAATATTAAAATAAATCTTTGTTATAATATGAAAATTTCGTCTCGATTAACTTATATGATTTTAGATGCATTTCAGTTTTGATCATATAGTTTTAGAAGTCGAGTGAAATCAGTTCACTAACAATGATATTTATTATCAGAAATATCAAAAGAATAACTGTTCAGTATTATAAATCAGACGTTATTGAAGTATATTTCAATCTGGGTGTAATAAACATATCTTTTGTATTTTAATACGATATATAAATTATTAATTATTTAATATTTTTTAAAAAAATTTTTGTAGAATTTTTGCATAAATAATCCATAGCAGATAACGAATATATTGTTTTATATCAAGTGGATTAAATTGCTTTTCTAATTCACTAACAAAATGAATATAGGTAAAATATGGTAAAGTTCGATCATGAAGTTGATTTAATTGTGTATTCAATACTTGATAAGTAGACTGTGTATTTGATTGACACTGTTTATATAATATATACAATGAATGACCATCAAATTGTTGTTCGTATTCAAATAAAGTTCGTATAAGATGTAAATGTTTATCATGTAGAAAATTTAAAACATCTTCATGTGTCCACCATTCGATAAATCGATCATTATAACTATTTTTAATACTTGATAATCTTTCCTATATAAATATATAAAATGAAAAAAAGAATATTTAAATTGATAATGAATTATTTTATTTAAAAAATCTATCTGCCTATATATTCAGTGATGTATGAGGATGTATTGTTTTAGAATCTTTCATATATTTTTCGAAAGACTCGATACAATCTGAATTAATTAACTTAGTTTCATTAGAAAGGTTCATAAATAAAAATGACCGTTTCGAAGACGTAGAGGGAGTTGTTTTATAATGAATCTTATTGATTTTTTTTTTCTTATTATTATTTTAACTTTCGATAGATTGAACCTGGATTTATACCAAGAAATCGATCGAAAATTTCGTTATCGATTTCGATTAACTGGTAATACAACTAATGATCTTGTTAATTCTATATTATGAATCTCGAGAATCTTGGCAATAGTCATAGTAACTACTGATATATATCAATGTGAGATGAAAGTAAATCTTACGAATTTTTCAACTTGAGTTTGCTCATCACATGTATTTTCTTGAATTTTAACTGATGCTGAAGTTTTATTATCATGAATAAGTAATTCATTTTTCTTATCATACATTTTTGACGCATAAATGATTCCTAACCATCCATCTGGACGATATTTTTTTCCATAACTAATGGGATTATATGACGTTGTCGTGTATATGCATATTCAGCTTCTGAACGACAATAAGCACTTTGTTTGTATGGATTAGGCATACAAATAAAAACCATATCAGATAATTCAATAGCTGTAGCCATTGATTGTAATGTACTTCCATACATATTTTCAAAATCTAACCAAACACGATAATTTAATTTGATTAAACTTTCATAAATTTGTAAACATAAATCTTTATTTGAATGACTATAACTTATCATGATATCATATTTGTCTTCATTATTAATTGTATTTTCATTTTTATCAAGAAGTTGTTTTGTAATAATTAATTCATTTTCTAATTTCCATAAAACTCCTTTTGCTGCTGCTTGAACACCTTGTTCGGTTGAATGAACAAGAACAGTTTTTAAATATCTTATAAAATTATCATAGGAAGTAATTAATAGTTGATGAATTTTGTCATTAAATGTTAAACTCCAAATCATTTCTAATGAAGTTTGTAGAACTAAACCAACATGAAGATCTGTTTGAGTTGTACAACGAATTAAAATTTCAAAATAATTTTGTTTAGCAATCCCATCTTTAATTTCATCATGTTGAACAAATGCTAAATATATGAAATCAAAGATTATTTTTTTGAAAATTAACCAACAAAAATAAAATTCTCTCGTCATAAAATAATACCTTTTAAATATGTTAATAAACATTCTACTGGAACATCTTGATAAGTATGACATGGATCATTAATTGCTTTGTATAAATAACTAATAAAAACAGTCGTTAATATGTCAATATTATCTAAATTTAGAATATCTTGTTCGTTTAATATTTTTGCTAAAATCATAAAAGCATGTAATTTAACTCGATGAATATTTGCATGTTTTAATTTAAGAAAAATAGCTGAATCAGTTAAATTTGTTTTCGAATTATATTCTGTTGCTATTAATATATTACCTAATAAAGTATAATTATTTAATAGAATTAATATAGAATCAATAATTTTTAAATTATTTATTGAATATTGTTGTGTTGAAGGATAATAAACAACATAACGTAATAATAATGTCATATAAAACATTGATTAATTGTAGGTAAAAATAGTTCATAAATTTCTTGATAAGAATTTAACATATTATTTAAACATAATTGATTAATAATTGTTAATTGAGATTTTATATTAATTTGTTTGAATGTATTGATATAAGTTGAAGAACAAAGACAATGTATGATAGGATCAACTAATAATAATACATTAGAATTATTTCTAATACAATCAAAACCACTTTGAAAAAATCAAATTGATTTGAATATTTAGAAGAATTTATGGATATATCTTCTAATAGCGAAGCTATTGCTTTAAAAAATAATTTATTTAAAAACCACATTTGAAATGTTGATTATCTTTATCAGATAAAATAATATCACTAGAAAAACTATAATATTAGGAAATAAAGTAGTACCGAAATTGTTTATATCTTTAACTGAAGAATAGTATGCTTATTTCAGACATATGAACTCGGCAAACTTAGTCCAGAAGAACGCTTTCGAGTTCAACATGTAGCTATGCATATGGAAATGCTACTTGTTGTTTCTCAATTCGTATTATCACTTTGGAAAAAGTATTATCTCCGATCTTATCAAGTAAGATATTCAAAGAAACATTTTTTTTTTCTTTGAATTCAATTTCAATTCAATGTTTTAGTTTTTTACTCTTCTTTCTGTGTGGTTAATTCCACTTGGATTATCAATTCAAAACTTTTATATTCGTTTTATTATAATCTGATGTTTTTGTTACACGTCGTGCAACAAAACAACCTATTGAACCAAATACACCAAGGTGAAAATTTATTTTCTTGCAAAATCATTGAAGAATTTTTCTTATAGATTAGTTTATAAATGGTTTCTTCTTGTTCATAAAGTAATGATCGCCTTAGATCAAAAATTTCCTGATTCTATATAAAAATTTAAAAAATTGACTACATTATTTATACATTAAAATAAGCACTAATAGAATTCAACAAATTCAAAATAAAATAAGATAATGTATGATTTTATTTATGGTAGATGCAATAGTAAAAGCAAAAGAAAAGAATAAGAAATCATATCAACATAAATACATTCGAGTATTATGGTAAAACGATAATATAGACGATAAATAGAGAAACATGTTATTGTTATTTTGAGAAAAAAATTATTTTTGCTGTAATAGAAAGAAATTCTTGTTTGTATGTTTTTGAAGGCAAAATAAATAATATAATAATAAGTAATGGTGGTATAAATGAAACATAATATCCAGTTAAGTATAACCATGGATTACGTACTGACTCCATACATCCAGATAAAAATGAAATAATCAAACGAGGAATAGATAATAATATTAAAATACATGGTGATATAAGAAGATGTTTATTTTGTTGAATTTGAGCATAAAGAATTTTTTTATATGCTGATTTTTTCTTTGTTTTTACACGTATTCGAAATACTTGAATTGTAACACATATAGCAGATAATATATTAATGATAAATGGTGTTAAAACATGAAATACATTTATAAATTTGTCATATTTTTTTAAATTTGATGAATATTCAAGAATGCACCATGTTCTTTGTTCATCATCATCATGGAATAGTCGACGAGATATTGGATCATGAATATAAGATATACTTATCAATAAAAATATTATCGGTATAACATATTTAGCTATATATATACTTTTTGACTTATTAAAATGTACTCCTTGTATAGCAGATAATGCTCTTTCAATAGCTACAGCTGTATATAACCAATCACCAAAACTAAGAAAAATTTTTAATAAGACATCAGTTAATATACAACTAAAATGAATAAATGATGTATTTGTTATAGATTTCATTTGAAAAATAATCAGTTGAAAATATTTAATTGTAAATATTGTTATTGTTAATATCGATATAATTGAATTTGTTAATAAATAGATTCCACAACCTACTTTAAGTAAAGATTCGCTTTTAAAAGTTAATATAGATAATACTCCATTAATAATACTAAATATTAACATTAGAATTGTTATTGATGCAGTTATTTTCACTGCTGTGGATTGTTTCGTAAATGAAATAAATGGTTTAATATGATATCCAAATATAACATCAAGTGATGTACTAAAACCTATAGTATTTAATTCACATGTACTTCCATAATAACATTTATCACATTTACATACTAACATTGATGGACAAGTTATATTATCTTGAAAACATTCGCCATGTTTTCCACAATAATTATTACCTTGACAATCATAAGACGTATTATGATTAAATTCAAAACAATTTGAATATCGATTTTTATCACAAACACACATATATTTCTCATCATAAAAACATTTTAATTTGAGATTTTCTACACATTGTAATGGATAATATTTTAATCGACGTAGATTACTATAACCAAGTAATGTTGAATTGAGAAGTTTAGTAATATTTACACATGTATTATCCGGTTTAATATCAGTAGAAATATATTCACCTTCAGTAAACTGTTCTCTTAATACTGCAAGATAATAATTCTTTGAAAATTCAATAAATAATATATGAAATTGTTTTTTAATAAATAATGAAATTGAATCTCGATCAAATGGAACTTTTTTAAAAGACGATGTTCGTTCGTGGTCTTTATCACTGAATGCAGTTATAAAATGACCAAAGACTAATGTTGGTATAGGATTTATTTTTAAAGTAATACCAATTTCATTTGATCGATGTTCACATTGAGATCCCATATAATCTTCAGCACATAAACAAATATAATCATTTTTTTTTATTCGATCATCCATCGGTATACATAAACCATGATTGCTACATGGATTATTCTTCGGTTGACAATATTTATGTTGTAAATAACATTTTGAACCAAATTTATTTAATGGACATAAACAAATTGAAGAATTTACAGCAGTTGAACCAAATGAACAAGAATGTTGATACGTTATATTACAATAACGACCTGAATAACCCTGATCACAATGACAAAATTCTTTTGTTGAGTTAATATATTTAAAACATTGTCCATGGTTTCCACATTGAATTGAGCAATTTGTTAATTCTTCAGATTTTTCTAATGGAATACGAAGTTGTGTTGATATACGATTAACTGGTAAAAATGGAAATGGAATAGATAAATTCCAACTTCCATAATAACTTGATGTTATTTTTTCATAAATATCAATATGGATTGAATATGTATAATTAAGATTTTTTGGTCGATCGGGATAAAGTAAATAACGATTGTATTTTGTATTACAATTTATTGATGGAATATAATTTATTTCTTCATAATTATGTATTATTTCATTTTGTTCATCAATTAAATAAATAAATATATCATAAATAGAAATTTTCTTCTCATATGAACCTAATGGACGTATTTGAAGTGTTAAACTAACACGCTGATTTTGCCATTGGCACCGATCACCGTAATAACTAGGTAAACATAAACATTTCTTTTCAAGCGATTTTCCTTTGAATATAACAATTCCACGATTACAATATTCAATTAATTCAATATTAGTATTGATTTCGAGAGGTTTTTGTGGCTTAATATTAACAGACTGTTGCGGTAATGGTGATGATGATGTTGAATTTATTATTGGTGGAAAATATCCTAAATTCCATGCAGAAAAATAATAAGAACCTTCATGGATTCTATGATCTGCCATGCGACATAATGTTCCATTATTATACAAATTTATTAAGGAATCAGCGTTAAAACGAATGTTTTCTTTTTCAACAATATTACATATTAATTGTTGATCATTAGTCGATGGATAACCACAAATATCATTTTTTGTTAAACAAGTCTTTTCTTTCCATGATATATATTGTCGATTAATATTAAAAGTTAAATTATTCGAATAAAATATATTTCGGTATAGACTATTACTAAAATCATGATTAATACAATCGATTGGTTTTTCGTAAATATATTGTTGAGGAATACAATAATAATCATTAGTTGAATCAATAATTTGACATTTAAATTCATCAATATTACAATTAACATTAGGACAATTCAGTTCATCGATACCATGAGCACAGTGAAAAACATTATCACATCGAGTATACGGTGTATGACAAGGCCACCATTGACAATTAGTTTCATCGTCTTCACCATCATCTTCTGGTGGTAATTCTGCGTAATGATATATTCTATTACATAGTTGTGCATATACAGATATTTTTAGCTTGTCTTTGTATTTATCTTCTTCATTTTTGCATTGAGGATAATCAAAGCCAATACCTAGAGGTGATAAACATTTTGTTTCTGATGTACAATTAAAACGTTGAGTATCATTTAATGAACAACTATGTGTATAACTTTCATCTTCATCATGATAACAATCCTGAATACCATCAATGAGACGATGTTTTGATATAAATTTGCGAGATTTTTCACAATAAAATAAAGATGAATTTGATTTATATTCATTTATGTTTCCCATTAATGCACAAATCTTAGCATCTTCTGCGAGTCTGTTTGACAAAAACGGATAGTTAGAGTCATATCTAGGAGCTGAACGACAAGCTAAACCATTTCTACGATCTGTTGTATTTGGCAAATATAAACATAATCGTGGATTATTACAGATATATAATGGCCATACTCTATCATTATTACTATCGATCAAATGTTGAGTTGAATAAATAGGTTGAAAATAACCATTAAAAATAGGTTCAAGAGGAAATGGAATATGTTCTAATGTACAATTTTTTGATAACAAATTGTTACGTGAACAATCTGTTATATTGTATGTATCATTTTTGAGAATGTCATAAAAACCGAGTTTACAAAATAATAAAAGATAACAATCATTTAGATATCGTTTGGCTGATTTATAAATTGCTTGACTGTAGTAAGAAGTACGACCTGTACCTGAACATCCAAGTGGCTTATGATCAACAAGATTAAAACCAGGATCAAGTGGCAGACAGTATCCATCGCCACATGAAAATGCATGTGGTTGACGACATGTTCTCTCTTCACAAGCGAATAGCATTGAATCGATGCATGTTGAAGGTTGGAACGGTTCATTATCCCAAAATTCATTCTGCTTAAAAACGTCTGCTTCATCTGTTCCATCCAAACAATCTTTACTTGGTCGACCATCACGAAAGAATTCGAGTGGAATACATTGTGCTCCATTATGACATCGATATTCATTTTCATTACATTCAGTTATTTCGAGTTCATTACAATATTCTTCATCGATACCAAAACTATCTCCAATACAATCAATTTTTCCATCACATATTTCACGCCAATCTAAACACATCGGTTCAGGACCACGATAACATCCAGATAAATGAGAATAACAAGTATGGATCAATATTTTATTCGTATAGTTTCTACGAGCTACAAATGAAGAGTTTACGAAATCCCCAAATGATTCGATAGGTATACTCAGATTAAATGTATATTCACAATTCGAACCAAACCATAATGATGAACAATTATTAAAAATAAATTCATCGAATCCGGTATTATTTTTAATGAGATATATAGAATATTGTTCAATTATATCAATTGATGTTGACCATTGTAGAAGATCTTCACTCGTAATTCCTTGTAAACGTAAATTTTTAAATGTGAATGTATTTTCTATATATCCTTGTATTTTATTAATGGGATCGATTGATGACGGACGTCGACAATAAGGTATTAGATTATTTGTATGAAAAAAAACGTTTTCATCTGGATTACGATGATTAATTATATGAGCATAAAAACAATCGAAGATTGTTTTTGAATTATCAATTGTATTATAAAGAAATGATGCATTCGATTTAATTATTATCATCAGTGATAATATAAAAAAATATAACAATTGCCAATGCATCATAATAAATTTAGAAATATAAAAACTAATTTATTATTATGACAGTAGTGTTTTTATAGATCAATTGCAAAAATTGTGAAACTAGAAAAATAAGATAAAGACTTTAGTATATGTTTTCATATATATATATATATATATTCAAAGAATATCAGACAAAATTAAATGCGCAACTAATAATTTCTGATTTTATCATTAACATAAAACAAGGAAATGAAAAGGAACTATTTCAGTATTGTTGTATATTTATCTGAATAAAAAAAACATGATTTTCACCGAACTAAACTGTAAAATCAGATAGGAAATGCGCAATTCCTGTAGGAAACACATCTGTATTATGTTTTTTTGTAGAAAATACAGAATCAATATTTAAAGCACTTTTATCATATTTTTGTAGCTCACAATATCATAGATATGTATGGGCGTTCTAGCAAATTCTATATCATCTTACTGAACAATAAGATTATCAATAGTTTAGGATTATTTTAATAGTTAAAAACTCATTAATTCTCTTCAATTTTTAAAATCTTATAAGTCGAATATTCGAAAATGTCTCAAGACATTTGATAAATCTTTCATTATTGATCATGTATAAAATAGTCAACCATATGTATTTCATTTTTTTTGTTTTTGGTTAAAGAATTGTAATGAATTGAAAACATCGATTCTGACTATTACAGTTAAAATTAAAGCTACGTAATAAAGAAAATGATAGCATATGTTTTTTTTCTAACAGCGTGCAATAAATAAAAAACTAAGATAAGAAAAAATAACAAAATTTGAACGATACTCATGGAAAGAAAAAAAAAGAGTTACCTAAATACATAAATGTATAACGCATATCGATAATATTAAAAAAAAAGAAAATGACGAAACAAACGTATAAATGTACGCATATAATGTATCTTATTAAAATGCACTCTGACAATTATGCTTAGGATTCACTGGGAAATTTCAGAATTTGATGTAATAGATGAAAATCATTAGTATATTGTAGAATATTCAAGGCAATTTCACAACAACACATAAAATGAATCTATTCTAGAAAATTGTTGAGCAAAAAAACAAAATTTTCGAATTTTGGGGGACCGTCGCGGTCCCAGCAATCCCCATCGGGACACCCCTGATTTTAAAACAGTATTCAAAAAGATTGATGGTTGACTTCAATTTATGCGTAACATATTTTTTTTTCTTTGATGAGAAAGCCATTGAACTGTCGAAAATATTAAATTTAATATTCTTCGTTCTTCTCATTTTTGTACGTTATTATTCAAATATTGAATGTGATAAAAGAGTGGAAAAAAAATCAATAGTAAAAAAGTTCTTCTTATCGTTGTCTTCACCCCTTCTTATGCATAGATGGGTGTGGGTATATGACAGTTTTCCTTTTGTCTAACCATATCTACACCCATCTTGATAATAGAAGCAGAATCAGAGCTGACTCGAGAGTGAGAATGGGTGAAACTTCTCATAAAAGATCCGAGAATATATATTCTTTCTATGCATCCCAAATCTTCATTACAGTATGAAATAGTCAATTGATCATCTTTATGTAAATCTTGAATAATGCTCCTTTTCCAAACTGATACATACACGATCGATCAATAAAAAAGCAAAAGTATATATCTTTTTTGTTTGATCTGTGTGACTTTCATGTTCTGCTATAATTGATTAAGTTTTTTCATCTAACTAGATTACCAATGTTTGTTCGAAACCAAGAGGAGAAGAAAAAGAAATTGTTTGCTAAAATACAGGATATACACTTTAATTAGATCAGAGCGATCAATTCATTCTTAATCATCGTATGATGAATAATTATCTAAATCCTAACTGATTTAATATTACTTTTTATCATTCTAGAATGGTACAAGTTTTGTTCGAGACGAAATAAAACCGATAGACATCGAATTGCCTCTCTTCGAATTGATGTTCGACAAAATAGTCGGTTTTACCTTAGACTTTGTCCTTTAATCACACAAAAAAGTTTACTCATCTAATAAGCGTATCCAAATTCAAACCATCACATGAAACTTTGTTATCAATGGAGTCTAAACCGGTTCTTGAAAAAAAACGATGAAGAAAGTGATTTATTATTGTATAATGACTTATGATATTTTCGAAGAACTTAGTAATAATGACGTTAAAATGAATATTCATTGAATAAATGATCTTGTCGATACAAAAATATTATTGATTATTTAAAAAGATATGAAAAAAAAGAAGACTAAATCTCACAGAGGTTGAATATGTAGATCATCGATATTTCTCGTGATGAACATTCTAACACTGAAGCAGTTAACAAGGATTATATGATATAAGTAGATATTCGCCCTCAACTCTTGATTATAGTACATTTTATTATTTTATATGCAAAACGTCAGAATAAAAACTTTATCCATTTAAACTTGCCCATGAACGACTGAGAATATATGTTTAGTGGATTTTTTTTATAGTAAATGATCAATATATTTTTCATCAGAATGTGACTGTAGTAATGTGATAACGTAGGTACGTAGATTTGTTAACAAGAGAAAAAAAATGTCTATGATGGACCATGTGCACACACAAAAACAAATATTTCTATATGCCGTCATATTTTTCTTGTTTTTCAACTGATATCTAATAAACAATGAAGTTTGCCTAGTTAATCGATGTCATTTTATTTTACCTGACACATTTCTCATCTCTGACTAATAAATAAGAGAAGAGGTAACTAACGTGTATATAATGAATTGCATTACCGAATGTGAGGACAGAGGTGATCACGTCTATTTCTCAAACTATTTTTATACAAGGATACATAGAAAGAAAAAAATCAAATACGTCTTACTGATTTACGTGCATTAAATGATAAAAATAAATGAGTATACAATAAAAAATATCCTCGCTTTATCTCTCCCGAGAGAATGATTGCAAGTATTATCTAGTATAAACAGAGAAAATTGGACAAAGTATTATAAAGTTTGCATATGCTCCATTGATCTTAAAATCACACGCGTATATGTCTTATTGATTCATTATCAAGAAATATATAATAGTGAGATTCTGCTGCAAAAACATACTTATATATTTACCAAATATCCAATTGTTATTATAATGTTGGCTTATACTCCCTCCATTGTGACAATTAAAGCACTCGTTAGAAAAGATCAAACGAAACGTTAGATTAAATCCTGAATTAAAACTGTCCGTATTGTAGTACAGTCTACATGAATTTCTCCATTATCAGGACATTTATATTCATCAATCCAAATTAATCGTTTTCTTCTAGATTATTTAAATTTTAACACTGCATAAAACAATGTTTCTACAGTTATGTGCTCCAGTTTTACTTCTAACATGGCTAGTCGGTACTTTTAATCCATCACTTGCCAATTATTTGGTTGCACCAGTAATCTGTACTGATGCATCAATTAATTTGCGTTATAGTCGACCGTTACCTGCGGCGTCCACGCAAGACAACGTCACAGCGTCTGGAAGTGGTAGTGGAGTTTGGTATTCCTGTAATCTTGGACCGGTCAATATCTCTATTAGCTATTACGTGAACTTTACTGTAACAGATGCCAATTGTGAAAAGGCAACGTTCAGTAATTTTATTTTCACGGGTTTCTTTAATTGTAGTACACTCGCTCAAGAACCAGCAAGTACCAAGAACTTAACGGTCCTACTGAGTGATCCAAACAATACCCGTTATCTGGACGAAACTCAACCGTTTCTTGGACCTATCGTAGTTCCAGCAAGTGCAACAGTGCCTGGTGTGCTCACCGTCCCAACTTTGGAAAATGTTATAGTGCCTGGAGCGGGTTCATTGTACGTGATCAATTTTACATTGATCTTTCCCCAAGAAAAACATCAACCATGCAATTGTGGACAAGTTAGAAGCGAGCGAGTAGGAATTATTCCACAGTTGTATTTGATCAACTTATTCAATAGCTCCTATGCACCAATTATTCCTCCCACTCTTGCCAGATGCAAATAATCGTCGTTTGTATCCAACTATTTCTACTGACAACTCTACTTATTCTTTCGTTTTTCGTCTCTGATTTATTTTTCTATTATAAATGTGTTTTTTTTTCTCCATCTTAACCATTTCTGCGAGTGTATTTCTTTTGTTTTTAGTAATAAATGATCAACTTTATTATGTTTAATTGATATATTGATTACATATAAAAAGGGATGACGAGAATGAGAATGACAGGAAGAAAGGTTTGTTTATCGACAACTAGATTGCCTCGGCATCCTTCAATCAAGCAAAAAAATGTCCACTGTATGTACTGCAAGAAGCGAAGGACAGAAGAGACTTTGTGAGAGTAACACTTTTTACTTATACTCATCAATCCACTTGCGCCATTTATTGGTCCATTTCACTGTGAATTAACTGGATCTTTTGTAAATTTTTGTGATAACCTACTAGATAATTGTAGAACAACTAAATATTTTTCAAGATTATTTATTTTTTTAATTCAGATGGAATATCATTAACTTTAAGTTTATTTACAAGTGTTCGGCTTGGCATTAAACGTTTTTGATTTTATCTAAACATGATTTACTAATCCATTTTTTTCGTTCGATGAACAACTATTCAATTAAAATTAAATATGTTTTTTTACCTCATATGACACATTTTTTTCGAAATAATTTTCTTCGGTGCATTGTATCACTTGAGTACAGAATATTGCTATATAACAAACTAAATAAACGTAATCTGGACCTCTTGAAATACTTTTCGAGATATTTTTTTTAATAATAAGTCTACATTGATTATAAAATCGTCTTTGATTTTGTTTCATAGGTATATAGTTAGCTATTTTTAATCGTATCGTATTATTAGAATAATGCTTTATCAACGCTTGGTTAGTTGCACGTGTTTTAAAATCATCTGTCAGTTTTTTGTTATTACAATATTTTTCTAAAATCTATTTCTTCTTTCGAGTCTTTTGCATTTCACAAAAATCATTATTAATGAAATATTTATTTCGAAATTCATTTTTTTGTTTGCGAAATAAAATATTTTTAGAATATTGTTTTTAGACCAATTTCTCTGTCGAATACGCTTTAAAATCAATGTTTCGTTAGTTTTAGTAACTTCTATTTTTTTGTATTTTTGAACTTGTAATTATCTTGCATGTTTATGATCTAGACGAGAAATTTTCAGTATAATTTTTTAATAATATCTTGAATAATATAATAAAATTTTCAAATTCTCTTTCGACATGGATTACATTAAGATACTTTAGACAAGCTATTTGTCGTTTATAGGCTTCTTTTCATGTTTTACGTTTAGACTGAACTGATTTTTTGAAAACCATAACTTTTTTTTTAAAATTATCGTCAAATAAAATTTTTAGTAGTATACAAAGATTAAGCGAGCATATAAACAAAGCATTGCTTGAACTCCTTAGTGAGAAAGTCAAAAAACTTGGTGATTTTCTTTTAAATGAAAATTTTGATTTAGTATTTTTTTATGACTTGATAATAAACATGATGAAGAACATGTACAATAAAGTAAAATAAATTACAAAATCAAGAGAAAAATTTCAGACAAAACATGTAACTATATTTCTTAAAAATAGAATAAGATAAAGTTTATTTATTTATCTAATTAATTCAAATAGATATATGACATTCTACAACTATATGAAGCCTTTGTAAAAGCTTGAAATCAATCATTTAGTGAACAAAAGATATATATTGATGCATAAAAATAGTGGTTAGTATTTTTCCTTATATATTCTTTTAATTATATTAAATCTTAACAAACAACAAAGTTTATAAAAAATGAAATTTTCCGTTGAAAAACGTAAAATAAATGTTATTGATTCAATTTAGATATTTTCATTCAGATCCTAATTTAAAAATCGTTGATTTCCATAGTATGAATATTTCTTTTGATGAAGGTAGCTTTTTGCATAGTTCTTATTTTGTTAAACTACACTCAACTTTCATTATCATTTATAAACCAAATCAATACGGTATTTAAACAAATTCTTCTTGATTAGAATTAGTTTTTATCGATTTCTCTTTTGCTAATTTTTTCAAAATAAATTTTATATTTAAAATACAACATTTAGATTTACATTTTCAGTTGTTTCTAACTTAAATGGCCCTTATATGCAATTTTACTTCACGTCAATTAGATATAATTATATTCATTGTATAAACGATTTCATCTGGTTTAACTATCGTGAATAGATGAGGAAAACAACAAGTACAATAGTTTAACGATAAAATGTAAAATGTACTTCTAGAAAAAAAGATACTTTAGGAATTACCGATCGATTTTATCAAATAATAATAAAATAACTAATTTGAATAAAGAAAACAGTCAAATCTAACTTCGTCTGACTATAAGTAATAAAACAAAAAAAAATATACTGCCTTATATAATGTGTATACAAATAAAGTTTCTGTAAAATATTGATATTATAAATATTATTAAAATCTAAATATCAAAACAATCATTAGAGAGATATATTGATGATAGGTGATATAAAATTTGAAAAAAAATTAAAAACAGATTGTGGTCCAACTATATTAGACGGGCTACCTGCCGCTGTCTATTCACAAGCGCTATCCCACGACTGCTAAACATGAGGTCTTTGGCTTGCTCGCTATTCGCGCCTCAGCCGGTTCGACCTTCCTTAGTCGCCCTGGAAGGAGAGATTCCTCAACTCCCACCATGTCGATGCTAAGCTTCGTGCGGACGCTCGATCAACATAGAACAACGACAAGCAGGACTCCCGTCCTCAAGTCATTCACACAACCCGACCCCAGAAGTAGCTCTGGTTACAGAAAGGCGCCGCGCTTTCCAGTCGATGTTTAACTACATTAATATACTATATCTACTGAAATTATTTGAAATGGTGTAATTACATCCAAACAGGATAAACTATGGAAATAGCTTAACCGATTTCTAAGGACATCTAGTGGATAAAATGACATACAAAAATAAAGTGGTATCTCTTTTCTATGTGATAAATCGTCGATGCATAAAAATATATAAAATACAAGCATGTATGTGTATCGCTTGCTATACTACAGGTAATAGGAAAACTTCGATCGATTATATGTAAATAACTATTAATATACACTATTTGTTTTTTCGTTTTACTTTCATTTTCATACATTTTCTTTAGTTATTCATTATACTACATAGATGTGAGAAAGTGATGCGCACACCTATATATATATATGTATTTGATTGTATTATGTCTCTTATATCGCTTAGTTTGTCTTTGTTTATATTTTGTTAAGCGTTTTTTTCTTCTTCTTTCTTGTTATGTATATATATGTGCTGCTTACGCATGTGTAACGAACAATCATATCTTAAAAAATATAATATTTTTTTTCTCTTCATTTAGACATTTTGCTTCGATTATTTTCAGTATGATATAATAAATAATATTCAAATCGTCATAATACGCAAAGATGAAATTGCGTAGATTAACGGCTATGATTAGTACTATCAACGATTATTCAGTTTTAAAATGGCCTTTAGCAATAACAGCTGTTTTGGTAACAATTGTGTCACTTCTTCTTCTATTAAGTTTTTGTTCTAATACTTGGTTTAAATATGAAACAACAAAACATACTCGTTTAATTTCACGTGGTTCATTTGGTTTATGGGAACATTGTGATAGTTATGGCAATAGCTCAAAAATTCACTGTAATACGCATACAAGAGAAACTCGACCTCAATATTTCAGTATTATTGTAGTATTAATTTCATGTGCATTATTTCTTATTAATTTAACATTTTTTCCAGCTTGGGTTGCAACTATATTTGTACTCTATAATGCAAGTAATCGTTATATACCATATATTATTGTTTCACTTTGGATTATGTTTCTTCTTACATTGGCAACTACAGCTATTCTTATATGTGCATTGATGTTTATTGGATCAACATCATTTTATTCGCCAGGAAAAGTTCAGAAAGGTACGAAAACCAGTAGATACTCTATCAGTTCGGGATTACTTCAGATGTTTGCGGGTAAGTGATTAATAATCCTATAAAAATAGAATATATATCTTATATTTATTTTAGCTACATTATTAGCAATCGTTTGTTTAACTTTAGTACTTGTAACATTAATTTGGAAAAAATTTATTGATGTAAAATTACATGAAGATGAGAAAGAACTTTATAAACAATTAAATGATGATAATTTTCAACCAGGTTGGCATAAAATTATCCGAATACCGCGTAAAACATCAATAACACATACCGGTAATCTTAATACACCGCCACCACCATATCAATATGATAATGACGGAACAGTTTATTAAAAGAAAGTTATTTTCTTTTATAAGTAAAATTTTTGGAAATAATAAAACGTTTTTTTTTCAATGAAATTATCTCATTTCATTATGTATTTAAAATAACAATTAACTAACCAAAATAAAAGATTTATATTTGGTATTATATATATTAATCATGCATCAAGAAGTGGATATAATCAGAAGATTTTCTTTTTTATTCAAATTTTTATTAAATAAAATGCAAAATTTAATTGTCGTAGTATAAAAAAAAATAGTAGCACCATTTCCTAATCAAATTCTGATCCGATTGTAATACTTATTTCATCTTCACTAACTACATATGTTTTATGATACCATACATTGGTATTAAGAATAATAATTTCTCCGGGTTCAACAATAAAAGTTAATTCTTTACAAATATGAAAACATTCCGGTGCTGGTCGAAGTGTCCATTGTTTTCGTCCTCGTACTTGTGCTTGCCATGATGGTAAATCAACATTATCTATATGCATATGTGCACCAAATCCCGGTGTTCCCTATAAGAATAAAACAAAATTTTAATTTAAATACATTATATTTAATCGAACCATAAAAATCCAATCAAGTTTACTTGATTCCGATCGTTCAGGTAAAAAATAAGGTCTTGAATAATATTGTCGAAGAAGATATGCTGTTGAATAATCACAATTACTCCATCCAACATACCATGGTTTATAATCATCATCAATCATATGAGCTCGATCGAAATCCATATTAAAAACATCGCCTAATGTTTCGAATTCATCTTTATTTTTATATGGAAAAAATTGACAATTATCTTCAACACCACGAAGTGCACTTGAATTTGTTCGATAGATACGTTTAAAAAATTCATAATTAAAATTTTCTAAAGCTAACCAATCATTCATTGCATCAGTTATAATTACTGGATGATTTGTATAAGCATATTTTTCTTCAAATTCTTCTCGTGTTATATTTGATATACGTTCAATATGATCGATATGTTGACAAATATCACAAGATGTTATTGGTCGAAATATATCAATTAATGTTTCAAGTTTAGGTGCAAGACATTCTTCATGATAGATGTTTATTGAAAATATTTTATCATATGAATAATATAAAACATGTTCAATACCAATATAAGATATACTTGTTGTAAATATAGCAAGTAAACCAAATATAAAAGCACATAGAAGATAAATATCACATGTTTTATGAGATTTTTTTGAATAGAATATTTTGAATTTTTTATAATTTGGAAGACTTTCAATATCATCATTCGATAATGATTCACATTGTTTTATAATAGATTGAATTTTTTCGTTGATTTTTTTTGACATAGATGTAGAGAATAGATGTTCGTTATTCTTATATATTGTTTATTGACATATTACATGACTCAATACCAATAATCAATAATGGCTGTGCCCTCTGTCTTTACTAATGATTGGTGAAGTAGATGTTAATATCTGAAGTTTTATAATAATCATAAAAAGTTGTTTTATATTCAAAAAAAGAAATATTGCAATCAGTAATACGAATAATATAATCAAAGTCTAATATATTGATTGAAAATAACTGCTTTTTTATGCACGGTATATGCTAATCGTTATTAATTAAACTTTATTGTAGACTATATTTAATTACTCAAGTCTTACATTCTTTAACTTTGATATAAATATCGATTATAACTATAATTTACATGAATAAGCTATTCCACCTACTCATAAGAATATAATTATCTTTCTTTCATCGGTGTTTTCTATTTTCCTCATTACTGTACCCCCAATAATAACTCCTACACATACACAAAAATATTAATAATATAATTATTTGTACTCAGAATGACATCTATCATTATTTATCATTCGTTAATTTTCATCTCGAATAAAATGTATGCATCGTGGATATACACATATACAAGATTAACATCCTATTCTATTCAATAGTTAAAACGAAAAACATGGCTGCATCAACGGAAAATGCAACTCTATCACCAATACTCGATACCATCGATATAATTAATCAATCAAATACAACAAAAGAAGCTTTTGTAGCCCGTACTGATGGAATGTTATTATCCTATTCATTTCTTGTTCTTGCTGCACTCTTATGTGTTTACTATGGTGCATATCGATCTATAACACGTAAAAATAAACAAAAAGATTCGGGAGAAAAACCTGATGTACTTACAGCTAAAGATGGTAATTAAAATAAATATTTTTTTTGAAAACAAAAAACTTTCTTTTTTTCTCTCTCTAGCGGCTATGTTTCCTTTTATTGCCAGTGGATTTTTATTTGGCATCTATCTTGTTATATTACTTGTTTCAAAAGAATATATAACATTTGTTTTAAATATTTATTTTTTTCTTATTGGAATTGTTGCACTTTATCGTGCTATACAACCAGCTTTAGGCAAAATAAATTTACCATTCTTAACTAAACTTCGTGAACGACAATTTCATATCAAACTCTCCGAAAATCAAGCATCAGTTACTACTGATATTATGCATATCGATTTTAAATTTGATCTTGTCGATGTTGCTGCAATATTTGTTTGTATCTTAGTTGGTGTTTGGTATTTACTTAAACGCCATTGGATTGCTAATAATATATTCGGTATTGCTTTTTCCATAAATGCAATTGAAATTCTTCATTTTAATAAGTAATTATTAAAGATAAAAAAAAAAATCATTTTTTGTAAAATTTTATTTAAGAATCTTTAACGGATGTATTTTACTTGGTGGTTTATTCATCTATGATATCTTCTGGGTATTTGGTACAAATGGTAAACATTCATATTTTGTTTCTTTTTTGAATCTATAATTCAATGATTTCTTATTTTAGTTATGATTACAGTAGCAAAATCATTCGATGCTCCAATTAAACTAATCTTTCCTCAAGATTTAATTGAAAATGGAATATTTGCAGCTAATAAATTTGCAATGCTCGGACTTGGTATGAATATTTTTGTTTTATTTAATAATCGATTTAATGTTGTTGTTGTTTTTTTGATAATTAAGGTGATATTGTTGTACCTGGTGCATTCATTGCTCTATTACTTCGATATGATATGACACGAAAACCATCATCAACACGTTATTTTAATGTTTCATTCATCGCTTATGTTATTGCTTTATTAATAACTATACTTATCCTTCAAATATTCAAACACGGACAACCAGCTTTACTTTATATTGTACCACTCTGTGTTGGTTTTCCATTATTAACCGCATTGATTTATAAAGATTGGGCGTCAATGTTTGCCTATGAAGATCATCCATCAACACCTGAAGTTGTTGAAAAGAAAAACGAATAAAAAAATATTATTCGTTAGTTTTTTTTTAATATTCATCTATTGTTATTATATTTCATTTAAAAGAGAAAGAAAAAAAAAGAGTTTCTATCATTTTATTTATATTTAACATTATATAAAGAAACAGAAAAAAAACAGATAGTGGATTTGTTTATTGTTGTTCGTTTTGTTTTGTTTTTATTGAAATATATTACAATATATATAACCAAACTTAAAGTATTATAATAGCAAAGAATTAATCCTTATCGTTTTTCTCTCTCTATTACATTGTTATTTGATATATGTTGTGAGATCTATATTCTAATATTTGATTTATCAGATAATAAAAGAACATAGTTGTTTTATTTTAGATAATATTCTTTAGTTTGCAGTTATAAAAAAAAGAAATTTCATGAAATAATACAATCTACTAAAAAGAAAGAAATATGAGATAACAATTCATCGTCGATGACGATTACGATCTCGTCTTAATTTTGGTTGAATAGACATATGAACATGTTGAAATGAAAAATGTCGATCAGATTTCCAACCTATCCATAAAATACCTGTATTATATGGAACAAGTCCATCACCATGTGTTGGTAAAAATCCATTTAATTGAACATGTGCACATTCATCACCAGAATGATACCACCAACCAACACCTCCATGTAAGTCTGGACAGTTCGTAGTTTCTGTAGCTGGATGATCATAAGTAGAAAAAGGTGCATTATTATGCCAACGAGAAAAACCTTTATTGACATAAAAAAGAAAAGAATTTTATTTTTTTATACGACATAACTTACTATCAAATTTATTATATGCATCAATATTTCCACTATAACCATCGATTTGCATACGATAATCATCATGTTGATTAGATATATGAAATAGTTCATAGATTCCTTTTCGAGTTTCATTATACCAATCAGTTAATTCAATTTTAAGACGACAATGATAATTATTCGTTAACCAATAAAGATTTTCATTACCAATCCAAAAATCTAATTGATCTACAATATTACCAAAACCTCGTTGATATTCAATCCATGTTCGATTAAAATTAATATGATTTGTTCGTCGATTTTGAATCATTAACCATTGATTATGTTCATATTCAGTTGATGAACTTGGACAAAAAACATTTGATATTGTTTCAGATATTCCAACACGTAAATCTAAACAACGCGTTGTTTGATTACGTTTTGGATATGAAAATTGTTGACAAGAACAATCAGGTTTATGACTTAGAAAAAGAATAATATATATATTAAGAGAAAGACAACTGAATTGTACTTACTTAGGATAATTAAGTAATCGATTTTGAGATTCTTGATATAAAGTTACATTATGATTTAAATTTAAAGTTGAAAGAATTTTTTCTTGTTTAGTATTAAGTTGTCCAAATCGAATACAGATAAGAATAAAAATAATAATATATAAAAATAAATGAATAAGAAGAATATAACATCGTTCAACAGTAATATTGAATGGTCTCCGTGATGTTCTTGGACAATTAATTAATGAAAATTTCGAATTATCCGGTATAGTAATTGTTGTAGGTGATAACATATGATTTATTTCTGATCGTGAGTTCGGTTTTAATGAAACAGAATTACGACTATTCAATTGGTCTTTAAGCATAATGCGTGCTAGTAAAACACTTCGTTTATTTTTTTTTATCGATCAACGTATATTTATAAGGAGAAGCATGTTCAATTTATTATCGAAGGTAGAAAATTTTCTTCGCATATAAAAAAAAAAAGAATAAGTGAAGTATCACGCAACTAGTCTATCTAAAGCTACATTTCTATTATCGTTACGAGAAGTGAAAAACATGATTTTATCGTTTATGTCTTTGAACAATCGGAAAACGATCGACACAGAAAAAAAGAAAGAAAGAAAGAAAGAGAAATATCAATGAATATCAATTAGTAAAAGAATGAATTCTTATATAGATTTTTTACAGGTGCAACAAACGTATATAATTATAAAACAATAAAAACAAACTCAAATATTTATTAATATTTAATCAAAAAAAAAAAAGAAATTTTTTTCTGTAGAAATGAAGAAATCTAACTCGAGCAATTATTAAATGTCAATAGATACTCTAATATTAATTTCAGAAAAATCGTTTTTCCTTGCTACTAATTCATCATTCTCTTTTTAGATATTTTATAAATAAAATTCTTATTTTTCTCCTTCAAGATATCTAACAGAGAATTATATGGCACGAATTGCTGATTTAGCTCATGTATGTAATTATTATTTTGTAGTATTTATTGTAGTAAATCATTTATAGGTCGATGAAGTATCTGATCTAAATTCTGAATTTGACAATACAGAAAAAGATGAAAAGAAGTAAATGATGTTTTTGTTTTATTCTATCAAATATATTTGTTTATTTTAGACGAAAACGTGATGATCTTACTGAAAAAGTAACTTTTCAACAAACGAGTGGTCTTGCACGAAAAGATGATCGGATTGCAAGTGCTAATAAGTAAATTAATTGATTATTTTTTTGATGAAGTTTTATAATAATAGTTTAGAGAACGATTTCGTTCACAATTTATGGCAATGAATGCGTATGAACGTCATAAACGATTAGTAAATGATTATGTTCGTTATTATTCAAAAGAAAAATCTTTTAATGAGATTTTTAAACGAGATGCGTGAGTGAGTTTAAAAACGTTTTTTATTTTATTTATAAATGTTAAAAATTAGCTCAAATGATAAAACAGATTTGGATATTGTTCGACGTGAACATAGATTTTTATGGGATGAAGAAGAAGATGAACCTGAAGAAACATGGTAAATAAATTTTTATTGAATTTTTATCGATTAGTTACGTTCTTTTTCTTTTTCTTTTAAGGGAAAAACGTCTAGCAAAAAAATATTATGATAAATTATTTAAAGAATATTGCATTTGTGATCTCAGCCAATGGGAAGAAAAAAAAATTGCTATGCGATGGCGTATCGATCGAGAAATTGTCAGTGGAAAAGGTACTCTTAAAACATCCGTGAATAGCTTACATAGACTAAATGTTTTATTATTGATATCAAAGGACTATATTTAATTTAATTGTTGATAAAATATTTATTGTATGAATATTATATATTGTTTTCGATTGGATTGTATGTAGGCTGGAACGAATTTAGAAGAGCGATAACATTTTTCTTTAATAGTAGGTTTACATTTGTCATAATAATTGAATTATTATTATCCCCTGAGAAATTCAGTATAACACTCGATACAGTGGCGGATCTAGGATTTTGGAAGAGGGGGGGGCGATTTTGGCTAAAAGCTATTTTTTGAGTCCAATCGAAGTAGTGTGAACCTATTTTTGCTGTGAAAAATCAAAAAAAAAATTCAGCAGGGGGAGGGACGATGAGGATGATCGCTCCGCCCCCTACTAATTCCACCACTGACTCGATATCTACAAGAATTATGACAGTCAGATATTAAGAATATTGTATTTTCGAAATAATTATTAGATTAAAATAGAACTATATTCATAAATCTATTTAGGTCAATTTATATGTAGTGAAAAACGATGTGATGAAAAAGAAAAATTACGAAGTTGGGAAGTTTTATTCGGTTATGTTGAACATGGAAAAAAACGAGATGCTTTAGTTAAATTAAGTTAGTAAATGAATTTTGTGAATGAAAGTTTATCTATGAATATTTTTATTAAAGGATTATGTCCATCATGCACAAAAAAACTTCATTTTGGTCATAAGTAAAATTTTCAAATCAAAATTTTTAGTTTTTATTAAGTTCTTTAATTTTTAGAGTAAAAGAAGTTGTACCAAAACAACAAGAAGTCGAAAATGAAATCAGTGAATCTTCATCATCTGTACAAAAAAAGAGTCGTCTCGATGATGATGATGAAAATCCATCAACATTACCTGATGATGGACAAATATGGTCAAAACCATTAGCAGAAACACGTGAAGCCACAAGGTAAAGAATTTCTTATTTTCTATTTATTTTTAATTATTCTTTTTAGGGAAGACGAATTCGACGAATATTTACAAACATTATTTTTTTGAAATTGTATAATAAATTTGTGACATAGAAAAGAAAAAGAACAATTTTCTTAATTACACATCTGAACTATGACGTGTTTTTCGTTGAAATAATTCATGAAGAATTTCTGCAACAATTAATGAACTTGAATTTGATGATATAACCCATAGTGTAAAAAGATTATCAATAAGAAAATATTGAAGAAAATATTCAAATTGATTTGCATTTCTATGAGTAGTTTTAACAATTAAATCCAAATTATCAACTATAAAACTATGACGTGAATGACGAACTAATATTCGATATATAATACGTATTGTATCAAAAATTGTTATGAATAATAATATTCCAAACCAAATCCATAGCATAAAATACATTTTTTCAATAAATATATTTATAACAAGTATACATTCAACTGTATAAAGATGATTATCACCTAATTCACGTATTTGAAAATCACATAATGTTATACGTGGAAATAATTTACTTTCTGGTAATGAAAAACCAGAAAATACTTTGATGAATATATCAAAACCAGATTGAAGATAATTCCTATCATGATAACTAAGAAAATATTGAAGAAATATAATTTGAAAGATTAAATTAAGTATATAAAGAAATTTAATAAATATATAAAACAAAGTCAAGGATACACCTGTACGAGCTTTACATAATAATCGACATTGACGATATATATGTTTTGTATAAGATGATTTATCAGAAGTTAAAGGATCAATATATTCTTCATAACGTTGAAGACAATCAGAAATATATTGTATAACTATATAAGAATACGAACAGAAAGAAAGAAAGAACGAATATTTGCATTGATGATTATATAATTTGAGACAAACCTGTACTTCTATCTTCATCAGAATCACATGTTTGACATTTATTTGATGCATCGACAAGATTTCTAATCGATAGACCGATTTTATCATTAAATGATTGCCATATGATACGTGGTAAACTAAAAAATAATGCTTGAAGTAAAAGAACAAAATGTATCCATTGATAATATTTAAGTGTTCGTTCACGTCGCAAATTTGGATCTTGTGGAACTAAGTGATCTTTTGATACATGATAAGTATTTTGAATATAACATAATAAATTTGTATATTCTTCATAATTTTCTGTAAATTGAGCTGGTACCCAACATTCTAATGGATTACCAATATATTGATAAGTTGATATTGCAATACAAAAACAAACTAATATTGCAACTGTATAACGATTATGAAGTCGATCAACAATTAGATCATCATAATTATTTGTATCTTTCTTTACACCTGCAAATCGTTTTGCATTATCTATAATTTCAGTAAAATCCATCCTATTGTTGTCCCTATTTAAAATCAAAAAAAAACTCGAAATTATACTAAAAAAAATTTTCAATGTTAAACTTACTAATTCCAGGTCATCAGAGGATTAGTTCTATTTAGACAAGAAAAAGAGAACTAGAGAGATTTATAGAATAAATATATGTGAGACATGATCCTATGTTCTGACAAGAATAAGAATAAAATATACTACTCACCCCTTTTTTATTTGCTCTCGAAAGAAACGAAAAAAAAAATTCTACATTAATGCATGATGAAAAAAGAACAAAAAGTCTTGTTAGATAAACACTGTTTTGTGGCATGTAAAGACATGAAAAAAATTGTATATATTTATATAATTAATTTCACACTCTTCTCTTAAGTATAATCATATAAACGAAGGTCAAATTTTATATCTGAATATAGTATACGAGATTAATATATCTTTTTAAATTTCTATATAAATTAATTAGATAAATATTTTTTTCTAATATTTGTTATCAATATATGCAAAGAATAAGTACATTTCGAAACAATCACAACTTTAATTCATTTCAAGGATATTCAGACAAAACTATCATTTACATATCATTTTTTTTCTATTCTTATCTAATAATCAAATAGACCAACTGTTTAGAGATATGTGTTTGTATCTTTGTAGAAATCAATAGTGAATTATTCATTAATAAATGATTTTTTTTATCAATTCATATAACATTCTTGAATATTTTTCTCTTATCATTTGATACTTTAATAACAAATACAATGGTAAAAAACTAATTCATTTCTATTTCATATTATCAAGTTGCAATTTCTTATTATCATATTATAGATTCAATTAGAACAATTCTTATAAAATTCAACGTTAATTGAGGAAGCCATATATTTATAGCGTGTGTGTGTCATGATAAGAATACATTTGCATAATATTAAGTACCTTTCATTTGAAACATAATCATATTTGTTTCTCTTCTTATAAATAAAAATCGAATTCATTCGCTCGGTCTGCGTCAGTATCTAAACATTTATTTCAACCTTTATCAAGCTGATTCACTGAATGTCTTAAATTATATATTTACTTATTGCAATCAAACATTCATCAATTCATCTATCTATAAATATGTTTTTCTCCTACTATACATGTTCTATATATTATCAACATTTGCTAATTTCGTTAATTCTAGTCAGTGTATCTTTTATCATTATGGTATGATAACGAATCTATTCAATTTTATTTTATTTATTCTAATGATTAGAGTAGGAACTGTAAGAGCTATTTTTTTAACTTTATCATAGTTGATTTTAATTGAAATAATTTTATGATTATTATTTAATATTAAGCAATAAATAGGTTTGTATCAAATATTGCATATTTTTTCAATTATATCATTTTATTTTCGATTTCAAGAGATGTTTAATCTTTATATATTCTGATTGATACAAATCTATTTAAATGAATTTGAATACTGATAATATATCGCCATTATAGAAAATATCTCTTTGAAATCATATTAATAGAATACACATCAAATTTCGATGATTGTTATTATAAATTCATAATATTAGTTTCAAGTATGTTCATCCATCGCTTCCTTATACAATATAATGAGACATTGTTCAATCACAGCAAATAGAAAAGCTTGATTGATCTTATATGAAAGATTTTGCTGTAATGCATTAGAGAGAATTTCAATAAAAAACAATTTGGCATTTTCATGTTCACGTGTTAATTTAACTATCATCGATAGTTAGTAAAGTTAAACTAATTCAAACTATTTCAGCTGAATAATTAATTTGAATATAAATCCTCCGTAGAAATCTATCAACATCAAGTCTTATATTGATTCATGTTCTAAATAATGTTGATAATACGCCAGCATATTTAACTTTTAAACGATGTTATCGAGTTTTAAAAAATAGAAATGAATTCAAAACTAAACGAGTAAAAGATTTTACAAAAAAACAATGCGAATATTCGAAGTATACAACATATTTTAATATATGTTGGATAATGACAATTACATGAAGATGTAAAATTAATATTTGTAGGTGATTTGATGAGATATTAAATATTGCTGGGAGATGATCATTATTTATACTAAAAACGTTTTTTATCTACTTTTGAATGAAAATGATAATATAATAAACTTTGACATGCATCAAATTATTTATTGTCATAGGATAATAAAAATATTTTCTACATATTCATATCTATATGAACTAATATCAAGACGTTTTAACTGCTGTCTCTTTTTCATTTTACTTCCGTTCTTTCTTGAGCTTTCGTCTGTGTCGATGAAATGTAGAAAGAAAATTTACTTGAATTTCTGTTGAAATATCAACAGAAACAATGTCTACATGAATAATATTTATTATAATCAAAATTAAACAATAAACTTTAATCAAATTACACGAAAACAGCAAATCATTAAATCAACACCTTCATAATGACGATACCAATACTCAACCCAATACATATTCCAAAAATTATAAGTTTAACTTCATTATGTTGTAAAATTGAAGCATTTGTTTGACTATTTGTTATTGAAGTACCTGTTGTTGTTGAAGCATTTATTGGACCATTTGTTGTTGAAGTATTTGGTGGTGTTACAGTATCTGGCGGCGCTTGTATAAAATCGACAGGACATTGATAATATTTTATCTAAAAGAGAGTAAAAGTTAGTCCTGTTTAGGAGTAGTGGAAAATTTACCTGGACAAGATGCAACTCGCTATTATAATGAAGGGATATATAAAATGAATGTTTTGTGCGTACAGTGATGGTCTATATCAAAATAAAGTAGCTATTTCGTTAAGTATAGTTTGACTAGTCGAATAGTTTTTTTGATTCTATATGGAATAGATAAATAAAGAAAGTCTGATTTTTCAATGTGAAAAAGGTCACATAACTACTTACAGTATCTATTAATTCTGTATCATCATCGTTGTCTTTACAATGAAACATTACCCAGAACGATCATTTCGACCATCCAAAAATGGTGTCTCCTAAACGACCAGAAACAACTATAAAACCATGTATTATTACACCAATACCGAAATCATAAACAGGACTATCATTGACATTTGTATCGATAGTCTCCATATTATTTGTATTTTCATGATCAGATGGTACTTGAACAATAATTGGAAAAGGCAGGAAGCATTTAATCTAAAAGAGAATACAGGTAGTCCTATTTAAAAGATCATATAACTACTTACAATATCGATTGTTTCAAATCATTCTCTGTATGGTTAAACATTGTATAAATATTATGAAGACCTAGAAATGAAGCCAGCTTTCGTAGAGCAATTTCTTTTCGTGCTGCGTTTCTTTTCATTATATACATTTCAGATTAAATATCGTTTACAAGTATATTTCAATCTTTGTTTACTGATTTATCTGGCGGGTGAATACAAGGAGAGAGAGTGATATCTGTACGTAATATATCATGCAGTTTTATTGCAAAACAAAGAGACAGAGAGAG